TACCATATGCCTTACATTTTGTAGTATTAATATGCCTTGTATGTGTTTTTCCTAAATGGATAAGGTATCTCACCAAATCCAGCTGTTTTTGTCTTGAAAAAATCCTTCTTTAGTAGTACTAGTAGCCCCCAAGTCTGACCCAACCCTATTTTTAGTGAGGGTGTTTAGTGGAGGTATCTTGATTGGGTGGGTCCTTTTTGGATCTTTTGTCTCCGGTTTTCTAAACTTCGTATCTCTTGAATAATTGAATCTTACTTTCTTGACTTTGAAAATTAGCTGTTCTCCCAAGCCTCAATCAAAGGGACACGGTTACCACCTAATACTCTTCAACTTTTTCACTATTTAGGGTTTGTGAGGGGTGCTCTCAAGAGAGAAATTATGTGAATGGGCCCCTCTCTTTTTCTCTCTCTTCATTGGTCCCCTCTCTTGAATGGGCCCCGCTCTTTTTCTCTCTTGAATGGTCCCCTCTCTCTTAACTTTCTCTTGACTGAGCCATCTATCTCTCTCTCTCTCTCTCTCTCTCTATATAGCCCCTTCTTCAACATGGACATAAACAATGAACCAATGGTTTATCACCCGCGATTCAATAAATGCACTTTTATGTCTCTTCACGTGAAATTTGCTGTGTGTGTTCCCACTTTGATGGGGACGCACTTAACAAATATAAGAAAAAAACGTTTGTTGTAAAATAACCACCATACTTAACCAAATTTTGGGAGTATTTCGGTTATTGTTTTTTAAAAAATATATATATATATTTTAGGCTTGCCGTTGTCTCAAGTCAGCACACCCTAAATTTCATGTCAAAATTATCCATAAAAAATAAAAAAATAGTTAGGAGTTCTCCACCATCCGATCTAAAGAGCATGACTAGAGTCATTGTAGAACTTCGGTTGCCGATGTTTACAATTCTTTGAGGCAGTCTTTTGTATGGTGTATTCCATTAACTTACTCAATGTTTATAAAAGATTGTAAATTATGAGACTATTTTATCTTTATTAAGAGTAGATTATAAATACTTCTAGGCAACTAATTTCAAATTGGATAGAATTGGGTTGTGTCATGTAGTTTGAGAAATTTTTTTGTTTAACTTTGGACTTAGTCAATGACTCATTCAGAATCACTTGATTTGAAACCTGATGCTAAAAATAAATAATCCCTTTGTATATTTTTCCTATTTATAAGCCTTTGATACCTTTACTACCTAATACATAACTAGGTGTATTTCATCAAAAAAGGAATAGGAATTTATTGTAGGAACAAAATGGTTATGAACTATTGCAGGGAATTATATCATTTCATAGATGGGATATTAAATCATTAGCATGGGCGTGACATCAAAGCAAGGTTAATCAACAAAATTTGAAGGAATATTCCTTCAAAATGGGATTGTTAAAGTAATTTTCTAAGTTTGATTCCAGGCCTAAATTGTTTATGTATATACCTTCTTTATTCACATTTTTTTATTAAAGAAAAATACAGTGACAATGACTTAGATGTGGAAGTTTGCTTCATTCCCACGATTGATTTATTATATACATTATTGAGACATTGTTTTCACAGGAAAAAAAAGAAATGAAAAAAGTTTATATAAAGTTGCAACTTTAAATTGTAGAATTAAAGAGCACATAAAAAATCCATCGGAACACCAATTTGGTGTTGGAAAACCCTCTAATTGATCATCTTGATGACACACCCTATTCTTATGCGATCTCCCTTTGAAATGCATTTCAAAGATGTATTTTCGATCCAAAGTTTATAGTTTGATAACCGCCAGCCTTCGAAATGCACTTCAAAGATGTATTTTCGATCCAAATTTTATAGTTCGATAACCGCAAGCCTTATAGAAAGGGAAAAGTTTATATAGAGCCTAGGCTCTAAACAATCAAATTTGAGCCTATTGCACTAGAAGAGGTTGTTTTTGATGTCGAAATATCTTCAAATTGATCATCTTGACATCAAGATGCATGGACATGAGAAAAAAATGGATCTCAAGTTTTAAAAATAGTGTATTTTGTGATGTATTTTTTACTGTCAATTTTCAAGATTTTTCAAGTTTTCATAGATATGTCTATTTACACTATTTTTTAATTCTTAAACTTTATAAATAAATATAAAATTTTATTTTAAAGATATCACAAAAATTTCCAACATTAAAATCACATTTTTCAATCCTATTTGAAGGTAGGTTCTAATTTGATTGTTTAGAGCCTAGGCTCTATACAAACCGCAACGGAAAACCCATTTTTATTGGTTTCGGCCGACTCACCAAACCTATCCCCAAAAAAGTCTTATGTTAAAAAATAATAAATTAAAAAAAAAGGTCAGAAACTGCTGGCTTATCTACTACGGTGATAAGACCTAGAATCCTAGAGAGAGAAAACCCCAGAATCCTAGAGAGAGAAAAGGTGCTCCAGTACCAAAAATTTGAACCACTCTTTAAAATTGGAAACATTCCCATAGTTTGGGGACAAGAAAAGAGAGAGAAAGTACCAAACACATCTCCCACTTAACTCTCTTACATACGATAATGGATGCGTGGGCCCTTATAGATGTGGGTCAGTCTATATTGTAAACGCGGGACCGTACTGTATATATTAATCCCACAGGCAAAAGCATAGGCCATTTCCATTCCGCGTGATATTCTAGATGGGTGCGGTGCTCTCCAGGGTGTATTTTACTCTCTTGGGTAGAAGACTACCTTAGAAAGACTTCTTTTGGGTGTGGTTTCTATAAGGTTGCAATCTTAAACAATCCAAGTAAGGCGTGTCTCCAAATTTTATTATATAGCATGTAATTTTGGTGTAAAACGCTCTAAGGATTATCTAAAAATGTATTTTCATATCTAATTACAAAATTTTAAACTCCAAAAATAGTTAAAATCATGTAGATCTATAAGCATGTGAAATTTTTGAAAATTGACGGTCAAGATAATGTATTGTAAGATGTACTATTTTTAAGACTCAAAATCTTTTGTTTTTTATATATTCATACATCTCGATGTCGAGATGATCAATTAGAGGGTCTTTCAATATTAAAACATGGATTTTTGAGATGCATATATAATTCTACATTTTAAGGTTGCCTTATATAAACTTTTCCCTTTTCTTTTTGGACACGGTTTCTATGCGGCCAGCGAGCTTGATAATAAATATATTTTTTAAATATAACTTGATTTTATTTTTTAGAGATTTTTATGAATATTAAAAAAGTATTTTTTGAAAATTAAAAATAATAATTATATTAAGAAAGCATTTGGACCGTTAGTTACACTTGTTTTTAGATGGACCACCTATTTGTATCCATCTTTAAGATGGATGCTTTATACCTCTGGACCGTATATTGTAGAAATGCAGTCCAGCCTGCATGAAACAATTTTTCTTTCTTTTTTAATCTCAAAAATGGGAATTATGTAAAAATGACTAGATAATCATATTCAAAAGTAAATACTTGACTTTTGTTTTCTAATACTTAGATCTCACCTTTCAATTTTTGGGGTCAATAAGTGGGGATTGCAGGCCCCTACCTGTATTATTAATAAAAGAAAAAAATTATTACATATACAGTATTTTCCATCCATAGGAAAAATTGGCAACATCATATAAGATTAATCTTGGGGCCTCTTTTTCAAGCCAGAGACTACAATTTGAATTTTATTTTTTATTAATATGGCATAGATTGGAGATTTTAATCCAAAACTTGGGGTCTTAAAAATAATCCTAGATTGGGATTATTTAAAGGGTGCGGTTTGTATAGAGCCGAGGCTCAAAACAATCAAATTTGAGCCCACCATCAAATATTGTCAAGAAATATGGTTTTAATATTGAAAATTTTATAATAGCCTTAAAATATGTTTTTATCTTTAATTATAAAATTTAAAACTTCAAAACTAGTGTAGATCGAGTAGATCTATGAAAACTTGAAAATTTTGAAAATTGACAGTTAAAAAATGTGTTACAAGATGCACTATTTCCAAAACTTGACATCTATTTTTTTTTCTCACATCCATGCATCTTGATATCGAGATGATCAATTTGATGATATTTGGGTATCAAAACTACCTAGATGTAAGCTATAATTTGATTGTTTAAAAAGCCTAGGCTCCAAAGGTCTATAAAATTTCGAACTTTATTAGATTGGACCATTCCAGATTTAAACGCATTCTAATCACCCAAAAAAATAAATTTTGTGGCAAATGTGTGGGGCACATGAAATTATTTCTTTTAGATAGGTGAGTCATTTACATCCACAAAATTTATTAGGGTTCTTAAAAATCTTCTGGCCAAAAGATATTCTACTCACGTAGGAGTACAATATCCATTTACTCCCTCGGGTAAAACCGACCCATAGATCAGCTTCAATAAAATTTCTTTTAAATAATGTCTCGAGATTTAATGTAGACCATCTAATTTTTAAATAATGATATGAAAACTCAAATTTTATAATCTTTTTTTGGCATAATCATCTAAGAATTCCAAAACATTCATTTAAAAAAAATCCTCTCACCGAAGGCGTAAAAGTAAACTATGCTCCCGAGGGAGTATAGTACACCAGCTCTTTAGAAGAGGGAGTGATCGAGTGAATTCAGAATATACTCCGGCGGGAGCACATAAGCTTTTGGCCCAGATTTGCCTTTCCTGCCATTCTCTCCGAGGTTCCACGGATCCCTTGCTTCAAACTGGTCCTGCTTTCTCTCTCCAACTATTCTCCCTCTCTCTCTCTCTCTCTCTCTCTCTCTCTCTCTCTCTCTCTCTCTCTCTCTCTCTCTCTCTCGTCTCGTCCGTCTACGTCGTACGTCGTACGTACGTCGTCCGTCGTCCTACCGTCCGTACGTCCT